TGCTTCTAACGAAATTTGTCTGTCTCTTAGTACTTTGCTTAGCTTTTGTAAGGCATCTTTCGCTATCCCAATAGGCCTTTTCCTTTGTTTCTAACGAAATTCTCCTGTTTCTTAATACTTTGCTTAGCTTTTGGAAGGCATATTTCTCTATCACAATGCTCTCTTTCGGTCTAATACATATTTTATTTTATTTTCTTAACCGCTAGGGTTTACAGAAGATTTGGAGCAAGATCAGATAGGAGTGATAGAGGAAAGGATGAGGAGAAGGATAGTGGATAGATCAAGGCAACTGGAGATGTCGATTGACATTACATTTGAATAGCTGGAGAATATAGCTCTCAAGGAAACTGGAATAGGGAAGGGAGTTCCACAGGCGAGAGGTGCGAGACATGAAGCTATTGGAATAGAAGAGACGGCTACATTTAGGAGTTTCGACAGTGAAAGGGTGAGAGCGGGATGCCAGCCTCGTAGGGCGTTTGAACTCATGAAGTCTGGGAACCAGCGAATGCAGTTCCTCGGAGCAATTGCCGTGAAAGTATTTGTAAAAAAGACAGAGAGAAGCGACGGCGTGTCTGTAAGAAAGTGACTGTAGACGAGATGCCAGATCAGGGCCAATTATATTGCATATCCGCCTCTGGAGCCTATCAAGAACCCCGAGGCAAACAGAAGGGGCTCCAGACCATATATGGCAGCAATACTCCATACAAGGGCGAATTGTTGATTTGTAGATCTGGAGGATCGATTCCGGGGAGAAAAATTTCCTGGCGCGGCACAGGGAGCCAACTTTTCTTGCGGTGGGCGAAGCAATTGACTCAATGTATTTGTTCCATCTCAGGTCAGCAGTCAACTTGAGACCGAGCAGTCGCAGAGAGGTGCTCTCAAGAAGTTGAGCGTCAGACATTCTAATGGAGGGCAGGGAAGGATCTCTGTGGTGATTAATAGAGAGCAGTTTTGTTTTTGAGGCATTAAAGTTGACCAGCCAATTCCTGCCCCAGTTCACAACCGATTGGAGGTCCTTTTCGAGACGCACGGCCAGGTTAGTTTTGTAATTTAAAACAACTGTCAACGTGTTTCTATTAAGTTTGATTTTTTTTGTTTTTCAAGATATTTCTATTTGTTTGTATGTTCCGAGCCCTTTCGACTAATTTATTAGCTTTTTTTGTAGGCCATTCTGTTATCTTTCCTAAAACTTGTTCCACTGGCCATTTATTCAAGTTTGTTGTTTTCCTCTGTCACTTTTGCTTTCGATCTGTCTTGTCAGTATCATATTTTCCACACCTTCTTTCCTCATAATATGCCCAAGAATTTTCAACTGCTTCTTCTTGATATTAAGTAGAAGTGTCCTTTTTATTTCCACTTCATATAAAATTTTGTTTTTGCTCACGTTTGATTCATGATATTCTCAGCATCCTTCTGTAGAACCACATTTGTTTTGCTTCAAGTCTTTCTCCAAACGTGAGGTGATTGTCCAGCATTCACTACAATATAGGAGAATTTGATGTTTGATTCATGATATTCTCAGCATCCTTCTGTAGAACCACATTTGTTTTGCTTCAAGTCTCATCTCCATCCGTGAGGTGATTGTCCAGCATTCACTACAATATAGGAGAATTTGATGTTTGATTCATGATATTATCAGCATCTGTTATGGTCCGGTTCCTTGTACCACGGTGATAGTCCAAGGTAGAACCAATAAAGAAGAACTCGAACACGGATATGGAATAACACAGATATATTAGAAACAGGAATATATACAGAGAAGTAGAAAGTGTTAGTACGAACAATCAGGTTTAGTAGTACTTGTCTGAACGCGACTCTGTTTCGGACTGCCTCTGACTCGACTGACTGACTCGCTCGCTCTGACTGACTGACAGACTCCTGACAGACTTCTGACAGACCTCTCTCCAGACTTCAGGCTGAACTCAGACGGAACTCCAGACTTCAGACGGAACTCCCTGCTTCCTCTTGAGGCGCAGTATTTATTACGTATGGAATAGTCCATTATGTTATTATGGGTAAGGTCCCATAAGAGCATCCTTCTGTAGAACCACATTTGTTTTGCTTCAAGTCTCTTCTCCATCCGTGAGGAGTTTGTCCAGCATTCACTACAATATAGGAGAACTGATATTACATAACAAGTAATCCCTCTTTTTTTTTTTTTCTAAAGAAAGTTAATCCTCGGAAATCTAAAGACGCAGTCTGTGTTTATTTTCAGGCTTACATTCAGGACGCTTAGATTAATGAATGAAGTAGTTAAGGATTCTTTTTCATTTTTTTCTTCTTTTCTATTCCACTGAGATATTTGCCATGTTCATATTAGTCCTTTGTTTTTCTTTACTACAGGCCAAATCAAAGTTTTGATTCGTGAATGCAGTGATGGAACTTTCTCATTCAGGACCTCAGATAGAGGCTATGCCAAAATGAAACATCTAAATGGCCACACGAACATCACGATATGCTCGTATGTCAGCGATATTATGGTCTGTGCCTCACTTTGTAACAAGGACATGTGTAATTACTTGAAGAGTTCAGCGAAGACCGGAAGTTGGGCAGATCCTTTAGCCGCCATATTGGTTGTCGCAAATATTTGGTTGGTGCATGGCTAAACAAATACATTTGAAACACAATGATTTCGTTTCATATCTTCGTTATACTGCCTGGAAAAGAAACGGTATGTGACCAAAAGCAACCCAGAATAATTAGGTCGTTTTGCAGTGAAATAAAATTAAAAGGAAAAAAAAAGAATATGACAAAAAAACTGATGGAAAGATATCATATCTATTTATGGTGGAGTGTATATAATGCATAAAACGAATACTTGACTACAAAATCAGACAACAGGCACACACACACACACACAAAACACGCACACAAACACACACACATATAAATATATATGTATATATAATGGACTCTTCAGTCGATTTCGATGTATGTGGATCTGACAGCTTAATTGATTCACTTATGAAACTTTGTGCGATAATCTTAAGTGGCACTTAAGATCCGCTAGTGATTTACAAAAGAGGCCACATATGGAGCAAGAGGGAGGATTGTGGGATGAGATCACTGTTAGATTGGCTGACCTTTTAGATCTTGCTCTCGCTTCTTGAAGACGATTCAGATAAGTAGATTGAAAACTGCTGACTCCACTAAAACACATCTCCATTCTACCCATTCCAAGGCTAAGTGCTCAAGGGTGTTATGTGGTATATTGATAGCTGACAATTTGCTCTTCAGCTTGTTTTTGTATCTTAGCCATGGGCGTCCTACATTCCTATATATACAAAGAATTCTTAACAAAGTTTAATTTAGAAGCAGACAAAAAGCATTGTGTCAAAAAATGTTTTTTTTTTTATTTTGACATCGCCCCTTAGCTAATTTCTTTTGTTTTAAAAAGCTATTTTTAGAATTTTAGTAAAACCGTAACATATGAAAGTGAATAGATTCCAGTACCCAGTAACTTAGAAAATTAAAGCAAGAATTTATCTAAGGTAGTTGTGGTTAATTACATCGAGTGAAAAGCTTATATCACCGTTTTTCGTCCAATCACCGAAGTTAAGCAACGTTGAGGCTAGTCACTAACTGATCTGTGACAAACCAGGTGCTGTAGGCCCATACCAACATGCATTATGTCCAGCTTGGTATAATTCTTCCCCATGAGCGGCAAAATAAAAGATCAGGGGAAGATCAACCCCCCACAAAGGACTTTCAAAAGCTGATTAAGAACAGAGAGACAACAATGTAATAAACACAATTTTTTTTAATTAAAATGATAAATTACTTTTTTAAAACCATTTTTTATAGTTATATTTATTTACAGAGTATAAATCTTGTAAATGAGCAAAAAAATAAAGTGCTTAACATTTTTGCTGTCAGTTCTCAAGGAAAATGTATAACACCAGTTGCATGTTTTATTTATATCTTTTTCAAATGTGTCTATATTTCTGAGATGAGGTATTATTTGCACTATTTACATTGTTCGGACTGTTGTCCTCATTTTTGTTGCTATATTCACGGCATTGATTAGAAAAAATAGCACTAGAAAGAGACAGTTGAAATAAACTAGGAGAGACTTACTGGTAGTAAAATTACCCATCTTGCACATTTAAAAATCTACCATTCGTCCATGCATTGAATACTGTTGAAATATTTGGTCTGGTGCTCCTGCTGTGCATCTAGAGATTCTTGACAAAATCCATAGAAGGATCTGCAATGTAATCGATCCTGACCTGGCATCTCGGCTTCAGTCACTTTCCCACCGACGTGACGTAGCTTCATTCTGTCTTTTCTACAAATATTTTCATGGCAACTGCTCTGACAAGCTTTTTTTCCGTAGTGACCACATGAATTTAAACGTGCTACTTGATTGGCAACTAGGTCCCACCGTTCTACTGTTTAAATAGCTAAATGCAGCCGCTACTTCTACTCCAACGGTTTTTTTCTCACACTTCCAGCCTGTGGAACTCCCTTCCGTTTCCTTGTTTCCCTGATAACTACAATCTTCAAAAATTTAAATGCAACATCTATCGCCATCTTCTATCTTCTTGAATCCCGTTCATTTTCCGTCCTTTCCCCACTCTTCCCTATAAACTTTTCTCTCACTTTCAATCCCTGTAACCCCACAGCATACTAGTGGCAAAAAAGGATCGTAATCTGACAGAATGATGAGATAAACAACAAACAGGAAACGTTTATCAATTTAACATGTTTCGCTTTTAATTAAAGCTTCGTCAGAGAATGAGGTATGGAGCAAAAGAAAAAAATAAATTCTGGTATTTTTCCTTTTGTGTTGTTTGATTTTCATTGGTCCGTCATGCTTTACGTACATTCAACTCTTTAAACCAACTCTATTATAATTTGTGGCGTTCCAAATTCAGGGAGAGACGACGCGCCCATCCGTAGTTTCAAGAAAATTGACGGATTCCAAGACTAACTGAAAAACTGTAAATATTGCTTTATGTATGTAAGTGTATAAATATTGTAGTTTTTCTATGTGGGATTCAGATGATAATGTATATTCGTAAGTGTGTATGTGTAGATAGATAGATAGATAGATAGATATGAAGAGATTGAAATAGATATGAAGAGACTGAAATAGATAGATAGATAGATAGATAGATAGATAGATAGATAGATATGAAGAGGCTAAAATAGATAGATAGATAGATAGATAGATAGATAGATAGATAGATAGATAGATAGATATGAAGAGGCTGCAATAGATATGAAGGGATTGAAATGGATAGATAGATATGAAGATGCTGAAATAGATATGAAGGGATTGAAATGGATAGATAGATATGGAGAGGCTAAAATAGATAGACATGAAGAGATTGAAACAGAGAGATATGAAGAGGCTGAAATAGATAGATCGATAGATAGATATGAAGAGATTGAAATAGATATGAAGGGATTGAAATGGATAGATAGATATGAAGAGGCTGAAATAGATAGATATGAAGAGATTGAAATAGATAGAGAGATATGAAGAGGCTGAAATAGATAGATAGATAGATAGATAGATAGATAGATAGATAGATAGATATGAAGAGATTGAAATAGATATGAAGAGACTGAAATAGATAGATAGATAGATAGATAGATAGATAGATAGATAGGGAGAGAGATATGAAGAGGCTGAAATAGATAGATAGATAGATAGATAGATAGATAGATAGATAGATAGATAGATAGATATGAAGAGATTGAAATAGATATGAAGGTATTGAAATGGATAGATAGATATGAAGAGGCTGAAATAGATAGATAGATAAATATGAAGAGATTGAAATAGAGAGATATGAAGAGGCTGAAATAGATAGATAGATAGATAGATAGATAGAGACTGAGATAGATAGATAGATAGATAGATAGATAGATAGATATGAAGAGATTGAAATAGATAGAGAGATATGAAAAGGCTGAAATAGATAGATAGATAGATAGATAGATAGATAGATAGATAGATAGATAGATAGATAGATAGATACTGGCAACTATAAATAAACTGTAATAGAAAAGTGGATATATATATATTATGAGAAAGAGAGACAAAAAAAAAACGTGAAAAAAATGAAATTCCCACTCCCCCCCGTCTCTATCTTTTGGATTATCTTCTTTTATATTTTGTTTGCTTAATTCCTTCCATCGTCAACCTCCATTAATTTTATAGCCGAAAATACCGGTCGTATAAATGCTCACGTCTAGTTCGCCTTGCAAAAAGTCAATCAATATGAAAACAATAATGACGCAATGACATACTAAGATTTTGCCATGAGTTTAATGTTAGTGAACTCTTAAAGAAGAAAATAGTTTCCCCAAAAGAAGTAGAAGTCTAGTAGATCTATAGTTGGATGGGTCGTAAAAACTGGGACAACAGATGATGATTTCTAGCAGACAGGAAAGCAGGAGGCAACAAGGCGTTTATTATACAGTTTAGAGAGAACAGGAGCCAGTTCAGAAGCACACTTCTTAATGACTATTACAAGGATACAATAAACCCTGATCAGAGAATGAGATATGGGAAAAAAGAAGAAAGAAAGTCTGTTATTTTTACTTTTTTGTTTGATTTCCATTGGTTAATCATGTTTCACGTGAATTCGACTTGTTGAAGCAACCTTAGTATAATTTGTGGTGTTCCAAATTCAAGGAGGGATGACACATCCATTCAACTTTTCAAGAAATTAACGGATTCCAAGCCAACCTGAAAAACCGTAAATACTGCTTTATGTGTACACTATTTACATTATTCGGACTATTGTCCTCATCTTTGTTGCCATATTTATTACAAACGTTCCGGCCCTTCAGTATCTGTCTATATTTCTGAGATGAGGGTATTTTGTACACTTTTACATTATTCGGACTATTGTCCTCATCTTTGTTGCCATATTTATCACAACGTTTCGGCCGTTGTACGCTGTGGCCTTCTTCAGGTGTTTGGAATGTCGAAATGGTTGGAATTGTGATAAATATAGCAACAAAGATGTGGACAATAGTCCGAATACTGTAAATAGTGTACATAATACCTCATCGCAGAGATATAGACAGATACTGAAGAGCCGAAACGTTGTATTAAATATGGCGACAAAGATGAGGTCAATAGTCCGAATAATGTAAATAGTGTACATAATACCTCATCGCAGAAATATAGACAGATACTGAAGGGCCGAAACGTTGTATTAAATATGACGACAAAGATGAGGACAATAGTCCGAATAATGTAAATAGTGTACATAATACCTCATCGCAGAGATATAGACAGATACTGAAGGGCCGAAACGTTGTATTAAATATGACGACAAAGATGAGGACAATAGTCCGAATAATATTAATAGTGTTCATAATACCTCATCTCAGAAATATAGACAGATGCTTTATGTGTGTAAGTGTATAAAAATTCTAATATATCTATATGTGATTCAGATGATAATGTATATTCGTAAGTTGTTTTACATATGTATATATTGTTGTTTTATATATTTATATACATATATGTATTTGTTATTTTGCATTTTTTTATAAACTTTGGAATAAAATATTTCTTTTCAAATTTATTTCTTTGGTAAGTAATAAACCTTTACAAAAAGATCAATAATATCGCATTGTACTTGGTTGACATACTTTTATAATCTTGTAAACAAATGTTGCTGAGGGAATCAAAAGTGTATCCAATAACAGCGGCGTCAAAGGAATAATTATCCTTTTGACACATCGTTTATTGCGAACACGAAGGTTAAACGTTGCCATTTTATATTTGTCAAAACGCAAGGAACATAAATATGCTATTTTTCCATAAAAAGTTACCGCAAATATAAAATTGAATATAACATAGATTACAGTTTGATATTTACCATAACAAAGCGACCACAGATTTAATTATCATAAGGATATATTAACGTTTAAGATTTTTTTTGTTAGCACTCAATTCAATATTTACAATATTTACCGTGAAAAGTTTTAACTCGTGAAAGTTTTACCGTTTTCTTAATTTTAATATGCCAACGAATCTTAATTCTTCAGTTAATGATTGAATAAGCTCATAGCGAGTTCTACGACAATAAAATACCAATAGAAATTCCCTTATCGCATCGTTAAATATTTGAGCTTAACAACTTTAACAAAATATTGCAATAAAATCCTAAATATGAATGCAGGTCGTTATTTTAAGAAGTAAGGGGGTACAAATGAAAAGATTTGAATTTGACAACTTTTTTATTTCACTGACTCAGCCATCAAAAACTTCCTTCCTTCTTTCTTTCTTTCTTTCTTTCTTTCATTCATTCATTCATTCATTTTCTAACTGAAACCAAGTAGCGTGTGTCTTTGCTTTTCTACTCAATCAAAAAGGGAATAGTCCATTATTTATGAGGTATTGACAGGATACGTTAAAAACGTCTATCTTACCTTTTCTTACTTCTTTTTTTCTTTCCTTTTTCTTACTTTCTTTCTTTCTTTCTTTCATTTTCCCACTGAAACCAAGTAGCGTCTGTTTTTTGTTTTTCTAATCAATCAAAAAGGTAATAGTCCATTATTTATGAGGTATTGACAGGAGATATTAAACACTTCTATCTTCTCTTGTTTCTTCCTTTCATAGTTAAATCCCCGACTTACGAATATTTCTCTTCATAATAATATGAAAATAATTCAACAGACGATGTTATTTTATTTATGGTAATTGCACTTTTGGCGATTGTCTTCCGTCATTCGATACTGTGCGTCTGGAAAATGGTGTTTTAAGGCGATCGCCATCGTTTCTTGCATTGTCGCAGTATAAATTGCAAGTGTACTTTGCTGAACAAAGACAAATGTGACTGAGCTGGCGTCTGCAGCAGGGATTGGCGAGCGTTTATATCAGATGGATGTGCTTGAAAACGACTAGCCAGCAAGGAAAATCATGACCGGAAAAAAATTCCACGGTTTTCCTTTTTTAATATTCTGATGAATCTTTAAGTTAATGATTTAGTAAGCTCATGGCGAATTCTATGACGATAAAATATCCATAGAAATTCCCTTATTGGATCTTTAAATATTTGGGCTGAATAACTTTAACAAAATATTGCAAAAACAATCCTAAATATGAATGCTGGTCATTATTTTAAGATCTAAGGGGGCACAAATAAAAAGATTTGAAATTGGTGACATACGTAAAACTCCTCTGTATTCTCTTCTTTCTTTCTTTCTTTCTTTCTTTCTTTTTCCTACTGAAATTAAGTTGTGTCTTTCCCCCACTTTCCACGTGATCAAAAAGAAATAATCCATTATATTTGAGGTATTAGCAGATGTTCAATACTTTTATCTTCCCTTACTTCTTTAATTTCTTTGTAGACAAATCCCCGTCTTACGAACATTTCTCTTAATAATAATGACACTAAATAATAATAATAATAATAACTAGTTTTAACGAGTGAGATTTCACGGTCTTTAAATTTTCCGGTGAATCTTAATTCTTCAGTTAATGATTAAATAAGCTCATGTCGAGTTTTATGACAATAAACTATCTGTAGAAGTTACCTTATCGCATCATTAAATATTTGATCGTAACAACTTTAACAAAATATTGCAACAACAACCATAAATATGAAAGATAGTCGTTATTTTAAGAAGTAAGGGGGTACAAATAAAAAGATTTGAAATTGACAGCTTTTTTATTTCACTGAATCAGCCATCGAAAACTTTTCTATCTTCCTTTTCTTTCTTTCTTTCTTTCTTTGATTGCTTTTCTCACTGAAACCAAGTAGCGTCTTTTCCCCTCTTACCACACGATCAAAATCCACGTCTTACGAACATTTCTCTTAATAATAATGTAAAAATAATTCAACAGGCGATGGTATTTTATTTATGGTAATTGCACTTTTGGCGATTGTCTTACTCAGTTTTCGTCATTCGATACTGTGCGTCTGAAAAATGGTGTTTTAAGGCAATCGCCATCGTTTATCGACCTTTTAACTCGGGGAGGTTGGAATAATTTTAAGCCCAAGTCCCAGGTAGTACCTCTCCTTCGGGAAGGTGTTCGGGTTTATTGCCGGCGCATAAGGCGTCCTCAAAATAGAATTGCACAGAAAGGGCTTGAACAATTTTACCACGGTATTGTGAGCTTCTCGATCAGATGGACGTGCTTGAAAACAATGTAGCCGACAAGAAGAATTATAAGAAGAAATAAAATTTCACGGCTTTCCTCTTGTAATATTCGGATGAATATTAAATCTTAAGTTAAGGATTGAATAAACTCATGGCGCGTTCTACGACAATAAAATATCCGTAGAAATTTCCCTATCGCATCGTTAAATATTTGAGCTTAACAACTTTAACAAAATATTGCAATAACAATCTTAAATATGAATGCAGATCGTTATTTTAAGAAGTAAGGGGGTACAAATGAAAACATTTAAAATTGACAGCTTCTTACATTTCACTAAACCAGCCGTTAAACACTTGTAATAAGACCAGTAAGAATAAAAACAAAATGACTACATATTTATTTTTAGTAACTTATTAACAGTCCCAAAAGAACATTAGTCGTAATATTTTAAAACTGACAAGTGCGTTCAGCTATGCTGCCCGCAGACAAATTGGGGCGTGAGTTCGAATCTCGGCAGAACTTCTCTTTATTTTCCTACCTATACTGTCTACACATTGCCGTAGATCGACGACCTGAGTAAAAGTTGTGATAACAAGATGAAAATAAATACTAACAATAGAAATGAATTAGTTTTAACCCATGAATATTTCATGGTTTTTCTATTTTAATATTCTGATGAATCTAAATTTTTAAATTAAGGATTGAATAAGCTCATGGCGCGTTCTACGACAATAAAATATCCGTAGAAATTTCCCTATCGCATCGTTAAATATTTGAGCTTAACAACTTTAACAAAATATTGCAATAACTTTCATTTGAGCGTTGATCAATACCCTTGGTCAATGTGCTGGTCATGCAAGATTAAGGACTTTCTTGCATTGTTGCAGTATAAATTGCACAAAGAGAAATGTGCCTGAT